TAACGTTTTTTTTAGTTAATATTAATTAAAAATATAATAATAAAGTTTTTATTTAAAAACTTTAATGAATATTTTAATACAAACGTTTTAATATTTTTATTTCAGCACCTATGCGACTCTCTTCTTGTGGAGGTGACTGTATCACAAATACTACGATCATTGCAATGAAGCTCACACACTATAAAAGATTATTAATTATGTTATGTAATATGTTAAAAACCTGACTTATCTTAATATACTAACAAATATAATAAATTAATATATTTGTTATAATAAAGTTTTTTTATTATAACTTATAAATATTTTTGATATGTAGATTTTCAAACTTACATAAAATTATAAATTTAAAATTTACCATATTTATTGGAAAATAATTACAGACCTTAAGAATAAATTTAGAACCGAAATAGAAAATTCCAAGCCCTGAAATCCTTAGTGGTCTTTGTAATATTTGTAATAGAAACTGTGTGATCTGTAAATAATTATATAATTAAAATATTTAGTTTTATGCAACATTTACATAAAAGTTATATTTTTGCTTACATTTTCACGAATTTCGACGTTAGAAATAAGATTTATCAATCTATTTAAAAACATTTCTGTTCTATTCGCCTAATAATAATAAAATTTTATTAATAAGCATTTATTTTTACATATATAAGTTATAAATCAATATTAAATTTTATATTAAATTTTTAAACAAATTTTAGCGTTTCTTTCTTTAAAATATTATTTCAAAAAACTAAAAAAATATAAAATAGAAGAAATAAAAAGAAAAATAGAAGAAATTTTCTTAATGAATATATATGCAAATGTATAACTTATGCATGTGAACAAGGAATAAATTATATCATTTTATTATTCTTATAAATATATATACCTTAGTGCAAATCTCTTCGCAGATATAATTAAAGACAATCATTTTTATGAAGTTGGTTGTAATCCAAACACAAATACCAATAAAATTAAGCATTTCTTTATATGTAAAATCGGTATTTAACATTATAAATGCGACATAACATTCATAAATAATTTGTATTGCAAAAATATGAAATGCAATCGCTTGCATCACCATATGCAATCCAAATATCGTATTTAATTCACGTAATATCGAACATAATTCGAGATGAATATGCCTACGAAATGTATCTGATAAACAATATATTTGAATCATTGCATAAAATATACAATAAATTGTATATTTCATATTTTGTATACTTCATTTATTTTATACATTTGTAGCTTTCAAACATTTCTATTGTACATTTTTTATTATAAAATAAATTTTATAAAGTTTTTGTAATATATTATATTTTTTAAATCAGTCTTTTTTTATTTAAAAAAATAACTATTTATATTAGACAATAATGTAATAATAACAAAAACGATATATTTTTTATATTAAGATAAAATCTTTGTTAGCATAATTTTAAATTATTATCGTAATGCATAGCTTGAAAGCCGTTATAATATAAAAATACTTCCTATTATTCTTACATTAAAACTAATATAATTTGTTTAATTGTTCTGGTGCCAGTCTTGTAACGGCAAATTAGAGGAAAAGTAGAAGTTGCCCAGGCATACCTTTCTTTCTGTTTCTTCTGTTCTACTAATTCTTGAATATATATATTTATACACTCAAATCGAGATCCTGTGTATCTACATCAAATATAATGAAAATTAATTTTTATCAAATATATATAATTTGCAGTGTTATACATACAAAATGTCCGATAATTCAAGAAACAATACACAGATAGAGCAAAAAAAACTAAACGGAAAAATTTTCTATTATTTTGTAATTTT